ACCCACAGCCTCTGCAGCACACGCCCCTGCGGGCAATTCCAAAAAAAGGTTCACAGAGGCCAGGAGGAAACCGCTTCGTTGAGGACGACCTTGCAGGAGACCCCGAGGCCGACGCCCTGGTAAACAACGGTCAGGGCCCGCCCTCCATCACGGGCCGTTTGCGCAGCGTGGCCGACGGAGCGCAGGCAGCAGCGGACCTAGCGGGCGCAGGAGCAGCAGGGCTCGCGGCGGTGCAGGCCTTCCGCTCCCAGCTCCCCCTGGACGCAGCCGAGGACGTGCGCCTAAATGCGATGCCCCGCCCAGGGCCGCAGCCACAGCCACCACCGCAGATCATCGGTCGACCCGACGACATAGCCTCCGCCGAGCTACGACCAGCTGGCCCGAGACATCGAGGCGGCCTAGACTCTCCTTCGCCGTACAAGTGAAAATGCGTGTTGCGCTACATGTAAAGAAGCATGGAGGTAGTTACAGCCGGAGCACAGGATGAGTTGATGCAGAGCCTGAACTACAAGCTGAAAACCAGCAACACCAACTACGTGACCGCACGGCACGACGTGCAGTATTTCTCAAGCTCGCTGAGCTCCTTCTCCCCCCCACCTCGAGGGTCTGCCGCATTCCGCTGACCAGCGGTACTTCGCCTTCAGAGTCAGAAACACGGACGCCACCAACCAACCCAGCCTGTTTCATCCAGAGGATCCAGATTTTCGCCAACGGCCAGCGCTGCGACGACATTAACTACTACGGCCGCACCGTGGCCGTGTGTGACCTGCTGAAGGGCCGCGAGTACAACCAGAACAAGGCCGTGGAGGGCTTCGACGAGGTGAACAACTCTTGGACGCCCCGCGCGGTGCATCAGAGCGGGTGCTTCTGCGCCCCACCATGGTGGGCATCCTGCGCTGCGGCAAGATGCTGCCGCCGCAGCTGACCTGGTGATAGAAATCGAGTTCGCAGACGCGACGACTGCGCTGTGGTCCGAGAACGCCGGGCGCACCCGGCGGGAGCCACGCTGAGCACCGACTTCAAGATCCAGAACGTCCGAGTTCTGGCCTCCCAGGTCGTCCTGGACTCTGCGCTGGTTAGTCCTTCAACCGCGTGCTCCTCTCAGGAAGGTCGCTCGTGTTCAGCTACCCTACGGTGCACACACAGCAGTCCACGGCCCCGCCAGGCGTGGCGGAGCACAACGTCACCGTTGCGCGCGCCTTCACGAAACTGATGGGTCGTGACCTTCTGGAACAACGACGCGGGCTCTAAGACCAACTCGGGGCAGGACGTGATCGGCGCGGCCAGGCAGGAAGACAGTCGTGCAGCTGGGCAGCCTGCAGTACCCACACAATCCTATGAAGGGAGCCTCGGAGCACTTCCTCTTCCTCTTGGTCCTTGCGGGGACCTACGACAACACGGTGCGCAACATCGACATCGACCGCGCGGGCTACCTGCGCCACAGCTTCATCGCGGGCTTCCCGACAGAGCGCGCGCCCAAGATGCCCCTGAGCGGCGTCAGCACCCGTTCGGGCGACCTGGCTCGGTTCACTTTCAAGGCGCTCGACGGCACGATGACGGACGTGATCATTCACCTGATAGCCTATCAGCTGGTGACGCTCTCTGGCACTGGAGTCTCTGTGAGGATCCATAGCTCAATCGGAAGAAGCGCTGCAGCTCTGAAGCTTGGAGACCGCGACTCCACTCGGCGCGGGGCGAGCGCCTTTGAGAATTCTTTTTCTCCCTCGACCCGAGACGGATCATCTCCGAGACGGATCTTTCCGCCTCCAGACCAGTGAACGCTCCTGGGAATAAGAAATTCCATGGTCCAAGACGGATCATCTCCGAGACGGATCCCGCCTTCAGACCAGTGAGCGCCTCTCCTGGCAATAAGAAATTTTCCGAGATGGATCTTTCCACCTCCAGACCAGTGAGCGCCTTTGCAAATACGAAATTCCCACAGAGACGGATCTTTCCACTTCAGCGCCTCTCCTGAGACGGATCTTTCCGCCTCCAAACCAGTGAGCGCCTCTCCTGAGAATAAGAAATTCCCAGAGACGGATCTTTCCGCCTCCAGACCAGTGAATAAGAAATTCCCAGAGACGGATCTTGCCTCCAGAGCAGCGAGCAGAGACGGATCTTAATTTCCGCCTCCAGACCAGTGAGCGCCTCTCCTGGGAATAAGAAATTCCATAGTCCAAGACGGATCATCTCCAAGACGGATCTTTCCCAGCGCCTCTCCTGGGAATAAGAAGACCAGTGAGCGCCTCTCCTGGGAGTAAGAAATTCCCAGAGACGGAAAGATCCGTCTCCAGACCAGTGAGCGCCTCTCCTGCAAATAAGAAATTCCCAGAGACGGATCTTTCCGCCTCCAGACCAGTGAGTGAAGAAAGTCCATGGTCTGAAACGGATCTTTTGTGAGACGGATCTTTCCGCCTCCAGACCAGTGACCGCCTCTCCTGGGAAGAAGAAATTCCATGGTCCGAGACGGATCATCTCCGAGACGGATCATCTCCGAGATCTTTCCGCCTCCAGACCAGTGAGCGCCTCTCCTGGGAATAAGAAATTCCCCGAGACGGATCTTTCCGCCTCCACGCCTCTCCTGAGAATAAGAAATTCCATGCTCTGAGACGGATCATCTCCGAGACGGATCTTTCCACCAGCCCGGCGTTTTGCGCCTCAGCGTAACCTTTTTGCTTGCAAAGCCCATTTCCAGACTAATTGCTACGTTTTTTCCAGGTGGCCTACCTTGTGTTGCACGAATTTGCACGGTTTTGCATGGTGTTTGACATTATTTTGCTTGATTTTCGCATGACATGGTTTTGCACGGATTTTGACATGATTTTGCTTGATTTTCGCATGACATGGTCTTGCATGGATTTTGACATGATTTTCGCATGACCTGGCTTTACATGCTTGGAATCGGCATGCGCTTCACCCCCCAACACGTCCCTGAGTTTTTTCCTGTCAGGCTGCCGTATGTGTCAGGTCCTGGAGAACTTCGTGGGGTGGGAGGCGGGGCAGTGCCGAGCGGGCACTAGTAGCTAGACGCGCCGAGCAGGCACAGTGCCGAGCGTGCACTTGTAGGTAGACGTGCCGCAGGCACTTGTCGGTAGACGTGCCGAGCGGGCACTAGGACGTGCCGAGCGGGTACTGTGCCGAGCGGGCACCGTAGGAGTGCCGAGCAGGCACTTAAGCAACGTGCCAAGCGGGCACTTAGGTGACGCGCCGAGCGGGCACCGTAGGAGTGCCGAGCAGGCACCCGGTGCCGAGCGGGCACCGTAGAAGTGCAGAGTGAACCACAGTACAAGCGGTTGAGCGTGCGCTTTAGGACGGCTTCGCCCAACGACTCTTAGTACGGGTTCACCCAACCTAGTTTGATACAGCTTCGCCCCGACTCTTAGCACGGGTTCGCCCAACGACTCTTAGCACGGGTTCACCCAACCTAGTTTGATACAGGTTCGCCCAACGACTCTTTGCACGGGTTTGCCCAACGACTCTTAGTGCGGGTTCGCCCAACCTCATTTGATACTGGCTCGCCCAACCTCGTTTGTTACTGGCTCGCCCAACTGGCCTAGCTCAGGGCCCCTTGCCCGCGGGGTGCAAACGGCTCCGCGCCGGTGGGATTTGGTGTCCGAGAGTTGCCGGCTTGCGGCCTGCTATCTGGCCAACTCCCTGTGGGTCGCATGTCTTTACATCATGCGACCTACACAAACTGCTTAAATTGACGCAGGCTCAGAGCCCCTCCTGTGCCCAGCCCAGGATTGCCCCCCTCAATGAATTCTATCCAGGTCCAAGAAGGATCTTATAAGAAAATGATCCTCGGTTCAGTCCGACATTCTCCCTTAATAACATTGTAAGTCCCAAACGGGGTGTGTGGTCCCGGTACTGTGTTTTACAGCACAAACGGATCCCGGAGACATCCCGGAATGATCCCGGCACTGCGTTTTGCAGCACAAACGGATCCCGGAAACATCCCGGAATGATCCCGGTACTGTGTTTTACAGCACAAACGGATCTCAGTGCATTTTGGATAGATCCGGCTACTGCGTTTTGCAGTACAAACGGACCCCGGAGAAATTGCGGAACCATCCAAATGCTGTATTTGACAGCGCGAACAGATCGAGCGAACGGCAGGCAAGCTTTCAGATGTTCCTTCTTTTTGTCAAGCCACCGCAAACAAACGATCCAGCTTTCTTCTTTGCACAGAGGAAGTAGGCAGTGTATGTGTGCGTGCGCGTGCGCCTCCCCCCCTCCCCAAATTAATACCCCGGAGTGTTGCCACACAGAGGAGCCTTTTCACGAAACAAGCGTTGCAAAAAGCAGTGCGGTTTGCTGGTTATGTTTGGCTCAAGTACTAGGCCTGCTGACGCAACACTTGCTACACGCCTTGCTGGCTGGAAGAAAATGCTAGGCTTCTCTGCAAACATTGGGCTCAAGGGCTGGCCGGATGACATTTTAGCTGGGCAAAATGTTTGGTAGACGGAGCTGGTAGCTTGGACTGGGCCTGCTTTGCAGCTTTTGTGTCTGCGCGTAGCTCAAGGGCTCAGAGACACTACGGTCGTTTGCACATATGGCAGCCCCTTCTAGCCGGCTTCGCTGGTCCGGAGTTGCGGCGGGCGAAGCCCGCACTTGCTCCACCAACAAAGCAAATCGCGTCTTGTTGCACTCCTGCGCTGCCCCTGGCGTCTCCATGCCAACTTCGGCCATGAGCTCGCGTAGGTCCTCGCACGCCTGGCGCTTGCGCGCCGTGGAGCAAGTCACGTCGCTCTACGCCGGAGTGCGCCAGGAGAACGGGAAGAAAATATTGTTGTAACCTTTTGTGTTTGGAGAGCGAGACCCTAGAAAGCGGGGTAAGCTTCAAAATGCGGCGCCGTCAGGTGCCACCTCTTCCTGGCAGGCGCGTGGCCCCAAGTTCGGCGCTGTTCACCTTCAACTCCCTGGCGCTGAAAAGGGAGAGCTGGTCAGACTTTCTCACGTGGCTCGCCACGCTGGAGTTCGTGGCTCGGTTCACCGCAACTATGGAGGGTTCCTACCATTCAGCGCATGAGGGAAGAGTTCATTTGCACTTCTTCGCCGGGTTCCACCGCCCTGTTGACTGGACCACGCTGCGGCCCGTGATATTCGGAGGCATTACGCCAAACGCGCAGCCAACTCGCGCGCGAGGTCCTCGAACCAGGGAAGCCATGGACCAGGGCCATTTCTACTGCTACGCGCAGAAGGCGCTGCTTTCAGACTTCTTCCTTTTCCCACCACGGGAAAACAGGGACCAGCTCGGGTGGTTTTCGTGACTTTGGCTTTCAAAGCTCCCTTTGCTTTCTCGCGGGGAAACCTTCCCTGTTAGGTGGGCACTTTGGAAGTGGCGACCTCCAACTATGAGCCTTGGATCCACTACACGGTTAAGGGGCCTTGGTTGGATTCCCTATGGAGCGCGCACAAGCTGTCGCACCAGACGTAGCCCCAGATTCGCATTGTTCACTTGCGCTGGAACATAGCGTTTGGGAACAGAGCTCCAGAACCTTCCTTGCGTCTCGTCAACTTGAGCTTAACTCGCCACCTCTGAGGTGCCAGGTTCGCACTGGCTTCATCGGGCGCCAGCGGCAGGTGGAGGCAGTGCAGATGCACAAGGAGCGCGGACGGCTGCTGGAGCAGCAAGCTGCCGCAGAGGTGTCGCTGCAGCGCCTGAAAGGCGATTTCAAGGCACCGGCGCTGGCGCGATGCGAGCCCTGGGCATCCCAATACCAAGAGCCGAAGATGAGGTACAAGTTTCTGATCTTGAGAGGAGGCTCGCAGAGTGGCAAAAGCGCTCTTGCAAAAAGCCTTGGTGACATTTTCGGACTGGGTAAGCCTTTCATAGACTGCATATTGGCAGCCAGCCACGGCTCACGGCTGTCCCAGGTTGCTGACATGTCCACTGTGCCAACAATCGGGATTTTAAAGAGCCAAACGGCGTACGAATAGATGCCAGTCTTGGACTGAGCCAGCTGGTGAACATCGCAATTTGCTTGGAAGAGCGCCCGCTGAGAAAGGACAAACTCCATACTGTTGATGTTATCAAACAGTATGTAGCCGTACTGCTCGAAGTGCTGCTTGACGGGCCCTGCTACTTGCCGCCCGCAGAGCCTTGAGCATTGTGGCCCACGCGCAAAAGCAGTGTAGCTGCTAACTACGTGGGAGGGGTTAGGGAGTTGGTGTGTGTCCTCGCAACATTCCGGTGGCTGGCTGCCCTGTTCATGTGGGACTTGCTGTGTTTTTCCACCCGGCATGTTAGGGTTGTCCAATTCCACCCGGAGGGCTGAAAGGATGCTGTTGCTTTAGGTCCCCTTACCTCTGCGTGGAAAATATATATATATATATATATATCTGTACATATATATATATATATATATATATGCAGCTTTTTCGATATTTGTGTTCCCCTTTCCGAAGCAACTGGTGAGTTTGTTAGGTTGGTTTCTCAAGATTTCAGACTTTTGGTTTCCAAGGGAAGAGGTGTGTTAGGCAAGCTGGGCCTTTTAAGGCGCTGTAAGTTTGCGGCCCGCTTTTTGAGGCCTTTTTTGAGAACTTGCCTGCCTTCAGGCAGGCGTGCCTTGATTGTGAAGCGGACCTATTTTCCACGCCGTTTTTTGGTTGTGGCCCCAAAAGCGGCCACGAATGGGTTGCCGCGTGTGTGGGTTCACCGAAAGCTTCCAGCCAGCTTTTGAGGGCGCATGTTGAGACAGTTGCTTTGACGCCGCTGCTTACTGCACGTTTGCTTTGGCTTATTTCACGGTTTGTTTTTTCCTCGGTTCGTTTGCAACCCCATGGCGCCACGCGTGGTGGCTGCAGACTTGGCGCCGGCCAGGCTTTTACATTGCGAACCATCAAGCTTTTCTGTGACCCGCTAACTTGTGCCGCGCAGAGCGCCTTTTCCGGGACGCAAGAGCCGCTGGCTAAGCCACTTGCCGCCTGAGGCGGAGCTAAGAACTGGATTGAACTGGATTGAGTCACGCAAGTTTGTGTCGCAGGGGAAGAGGGCTTGCAGGAACGGGCTTTAGCTTTGAGGGACCTTCTTGCCTGCAACGCTCGCGCCATTTCTAACATGCAGCAGCAAGTGCGACGAGAAGCTGAACGGACCAGGCATTGCGGACTCGGGCTTCCGAGTCGGCAAGCTGTTTTGGCTTGCTACATCTTGTCTGACTTCGATGCTCGCAAGGCAGTCGTGTTTGCCCGCCAGCTTGGTGAGCGCAGCAGCAGACGCGCGCAGGGGGGGCTGTTCTGGTGCGAGGACCTGCGGGAGGCGCGGCGCCAGCTCATGGCCGTCGGCGAGAGCCCCAAGGCAGCCCGGCGCAGTACTGCGGGCTGAGGCTGAGGCGGGGCACCAGGATCCGAGAGCTGCCGGGAGGTGCTGCGAAGGTGGTGCGAGGCGCCGGAGTACCGGGGCCAGCGCCTGGCCAGCTTGGCGCTCAAGGCGAAACGGGAGGTGCCCGGCGCGGCGGAGAGGCAGAAGACCCTGGCCGCGCAGGACGGCATGCGCCCTGTGCGGCTGCGGGCTGACGGCCGGCACCTGCGAGCTGGACCACGTTCAAACTTACCAAGCAACAGCCAATGCAAAATGGTCTACAGACTGCATTGCATTCATGCATGCATATTGGAGGCATCTACAACTGCCAAACCATAAGCAAACACATATATATCGAATATGTGTATCATTTAAGCATTGGGGTTTGTTTTCCAACTGGCGGAAGCTGTAGAGCTTGGGTCTGTCAGCCAAACACAAGCACAGCTGTATCACCCCCGCATTGGGAAGCAAAGCTGTACAAGCAGCGGAAAAAGCAAATTGCTCCTGCGCTAAAGTGGCTCTTCTGCAAAAAGGCCTGCCTGAGCCTACACGCTAGCGTGGCGGGCTCAAGGAAAGGCGGACTCATCCGCGGGCTGCTCCATAGGAGCGGATTCGTAAAAATCCGCAATAACATAGCGCTCCAGACGGTCAAGCTGCGCATGATGCGCATGTAGCTGCCAGCCAGTCACATGTGCAAGCGAAGCAATACTGTCGTCTGAACGTTGCCTGGCTGACCGCAAAGCATCAAGGGCCATCCCGCATTGATCAACATCATCGCGCAACTGCAGACATGTGTTGCGAAGCTCCTGCAGCCGCATGTCCAACACAAGAAGGACCTCATCGCGCAGAGAGATACGTGCTCGTCTCATCTGCCACAATAGAAAGCCATACGCAAAAGCTGCTGAAATGAGGAATCCACAAAGAAAAGGGCACGTGGCACTGCCGACCGGATTGGCCGTGTCCGCATTGGTCACGATGCACTGTTGGACATCAGTCACGTCCAAGCTGATGAGAAATCTTACCATCCTCTTAGAGGATGATCGCAAAGCAACGCACGAATGAAGGACCCGCTTGCAAACCACGTTTGAAAAGTAAAGCCTCAAAGAAAAGCATGCCCAATTCAACAAAGGGAAGTGGAGGGAGGGGTTGAATATGCAAGCTGGTCCAGTAAGCATGTATGCTGGCTGTTGCTTGAGCCCAAGTGAAACAACAGTGAGTAAACACACTGACCGTTCAAACTTACCAAGCAACAGCCAATGCAAAATGGTCTAGAGGAAAGCAAACCTCGCCCATGGAAGCCCAAATGAAACTGTGAGGTTTGGCAATTCAAGCTAAGCAATGCTACCGAAAAGAGCTACATGAAAAAGTCGTTCATCGGTATCCGCCATGGGAGGAGCACCTCCGCTGGCCAAAGCGTCACGGCCTGGCGTCGAAACCACAGCTGCTCGAGGTCAAGGGAATTCGCCGACCAAGCGGGAAGCGGTCGGGTAACTCCGACGGCTTACCTGACCACCGGGAAAGCATATCTGCATCCTTGTTGAGTTCACCAGGTATGTGCGACACATCCAAGGACACGCCCGAATAACAGCTGAAAAGGGAAAGCCTCTGAACAAACATGTTGAGGGGATACTTGTTTGTGTAAAGGCGATTGCTGGCGCTCTCCGCTCCCGTATTGTCGGACCATGATTTGATACGCACACGCATCCGGCCGCCCGGCAGTGCTGCCGTCAGAACATGCAGTAAAGCAATCTGCGCTAGGGCCTCGAAAGATGCAATGTAGGACTGCGCCTTGTCAGAGAGTTCCAGCCCCGTAAAGGAGAGGTCTCGCACGGACCATTTTTCGCTGAACCAGAGAAGGCCCTTGCTAGGAATTTCCAGGAACCCACCAATCGCGAAATAGTCCTGCTCGGCCATGGCGTCTGCGGCCGCTGTGGCCGGGAGGATGAAAGGGTCCGACATGGGAACCATGAAAGGTGGGTCCTGTGCCCAGCGAAGCCAGTATCGGAGCAAGCTGCGGACCAGTTCCGGCCAATCCCCGTGCGCGATGCTGTAGTTGGTGCTGAGGGGGGTGTGAAGGTCAGAATAAAGCGAACACATCCATGGACGCGAAGCTGGGTACAGCTGGCACAGCCACTGGAGTAAGCCAATGACCGGGTGAAGATCCTGCTTCAAGATGCGCTCACTAGACAGGAGACGCTGTATGCCCACGCAAAGCTTCTGGCGCTTGCTGGCAGGCACCGACACCGCCCCTGCTCGAAAGTGAAAGGACCAGCCAATCCAATCAATACTATGCCCAATCTGAACCTTGCGCCAGGAAATAGGGGAGCCAAAGATATCACAAAACGCCAGGGTGACTGTAGCTACCATATGCACCGCCTGCTCGTCCGTGGAACCAATGAGGTCGTCCACACACATGCCAAGCATGTGTCGAATCCAAATTAGCATGTGAACCTTGTCAAAGGAAGTTTAACAAGAAACTTCCGTAGTACTGGAACTAAATGAGCTAGCTGCTTTGACATATAGCTATGACAGGTAGCTAGCATGACAAATAGATAGCTTTGACATATAGCTAGCTTGACAGATAGATAGCTTTGAGCTTGACAGATAGATAGCTTTCCAATAGGCTTGCATGACAAATAGATAGCTTTGACATATAGCTAGCTTGACAGATAGATAGCTTTCCAATAGGCTTGCATGACAAATAGATAGCTTTGACAAATAGCTAGCTTGACAGATAGATAGCTTTCCAATAGGCTTGCATGACAAGTAGATAGCTTTGACATGACAAATAGATAGCTTTGACATATAGCTAGCTTGACAGATAGATAGCTTTCCAATAGGCTTGCATGACAGATAGATAGCTTTGACATATAGCCAGCTTAACACGTAGATAGCTTTCTCAAGTATAGATTTCGTGGCAGGCGCAGCACTTTCGCAAGCACTCTCTGCGAGCTGGGGGATGGCAAGATGCAGAAAACGTTGGCGCTGTGCGTGAATTGGGCTTCCGGACAATGCGCAAACCACCTCGGCTGCGACGCCTGTACGGAGGCGGTCTCGGAACGGTCTCGGAACGGGGACGGGTTCGGAACGGTTCGAGACGGGCCCATTGGCACGGCCGCGCGAAGGTTTCGCAAGGTTTGAATTGCGTGGCAGGCGCAGCACTTTCGCAAGGTCAAGTATAGATTTCGTGGCAGGCGCAGCACTTTCGCAGCACTTTCGCAAGGTCAAGTATAGATTTCGTGGCAGGCGCAGCACTTTCGCAAGCACTCTCTGCGAGCTGGGGGATGGCAAGATGCAGAAAACGTTGGCGCTGTGCGTGAATTGGTCTTCCGGACTGTGCGCAAACCACCTCGGCTGCGACGCCTGTACGGAGGCGGTCTCGGAACGGTCTCGGAACGGGTTCGGAACGGTCTCGGAGACGGGCCCATTGGCACGGCCGCGCGAAGGTTTCGCAAGGTTTGAATTGCGTGGCAGGCGCAGCACTTTCGCAAGGTCAAGTGTAGATTTCGTGACAGGCGCAGCACTTTCGCAAGGTCAAGTATAGATTTCGTGGCAGGCGCAGCACTTTCGCAAGCACTCTCTGCGATCTGGGGGATGGCAAGATGCAGAAAACGTTGGCGCTGTGCGTGAATTGGGCTTC